AGAGGAATAAAAAGTAATTGAACACAAGTTAGGATTAGAAACAAAACACAAATCAAGAAACAAATTTAAGTGATCAGGCTTTTCAGGAAAACGAGTTAAAAAACTAAACATCTCAGTTTGAGATTGAGAAAAACAAATATTATAAACTTAGGTCCTAGCTAGGTTAGTGGTGCTAGAGCCAAATCATTCAGTGTGATAAGCATCAAGTCACTAATAAAAACAAAATTAAATCAGGAATTAAGATAAATGCTTTAGTCCATTTGATTAAAACAAACATATAAAAAAATGCAGTCTTAAAAAGTAAAAGAAGAATAAAGAAGAATAAAGAAGAAGAATAAAGCAAAAAAGAAATGTGATTAAGTGAAGAGATGCTAACCAAAAGAATTTTCTATAAATAGGTGAATTGATGTAAAGGTATAAGCCTAAGTCAAGCATGTAATTGTTGAAATATTGAAAAAATCTTTATAAATTTAAAAATTTCCAAAGACTTTTTCAGCCGAATTCAAATTAGTCTCACAAATGTAAAATAAACGTTCTGTTTTATTCTTTTAAAGCTTAACAGAATTATTTTTGATCTCTTCATTCTTTTAAATTTGATTGATATTTTTTTATATGCAATTTGTCATTTGGCCGACTATTCATTTTGCCATCAACTATTTTTTTGTAGTTTGGCTAAATATTGATATTGCTCGCAGTGCTTGTACTTTTTACGGCCTAATAGTAATCTTTTAATAAACTCTTCACTAAAATAAAACTAAAGCGCTAAAAGGTTTTTCTTTGTGACTTCAGAGATTTTATTTGATGAAATTGTATCTAGTGGACGTTGTGCAATTTCCTCAATCTGGTTGAGTTACTTTTTGTATGACTTTTGCCAGAGCTGTGTCTTTTTGAAAAGCAGCCTAAGGGTGAAATGCAAGAAGCGAACTTGAGTCAAGCTCGACTTGAACTTTACATTGCAACCAATAGCGACAGAGTATGGGTTTTCCCCTCAAAAAAATACTCTGCCGCTATTGGTTACAAAGTAAAGTTCAAGTCGAACTTGACTCAAGTTTGCTTCTTGCATTCCACCCTAAGTAATTGCATCAGATTCAAATTTTTGACGACTTTTTGCACTTGAGATTTGCTGTGTTCTAGTTTGTTTTTTTTTCCAACCTTAAGATTTTTTTGAAAGCTTTGTAATAGAAGAGCTTCTTGAGATAATGAATTGTGAAGCTCGTCAATTGAGATAACAATTTTGGAAAGATTAAAGCATTTCTGGCCTGGAATTTTTTAAAGCATTAGTGGTAATTTTTTGTACCATGCATAGGCATAAGAAAGAAAGGCTTTTGTACCATGCATAGCCATAAGAAAGAAAGGCTTTTGCATGCATAGGCATAAGAAAGAAAGACTTTTGGTCCCATTTCCGCTAATGTTTAAAGGTCTAAGTACAGTGACGGTGTTAGCTTTCTTGCCATATTTTTGCGGCTGCTCCTGGCAATTTTATAAATTTGCTGGTAAACTACGTGAAAAATATAACAAATCAAATTGAAAAATAATATTTTGCAATGAAATGTTTAATTTACACACAACATAAAAACGTTTTATTTACAAAAATATTTTTTAATTTATAATTATAAAAAATAAAACATATGTAAAATAACACAATTTCCGCCCCAATTTACTTTTAAAATAAGTGCGTGACATTTTACTTACATTTGCACGCCTCTTCGGAAAATCAGTGGCGCAAGATTAAATTGTTTTAACACCAAATTGTGAAACAAGGGTAAATATTTTTAACACATATGTAAATGTGTTCCAAATCCATACTTTGAAATTGATTTTAAGTTGGATAGAGTTTAAAGTTGACAAAGAGCAGAAATTTAAATTTTCCGAATTCAATTTTAAAATTGTAATGATTTTTAATACTAATATGACGTTCATTACAATTGTAGGATTTATATTTAAGTTTTTCTTTACTGCAGAATGGTGAATCTTGCAGATATTAGACAGTATTGACAACAGAAAGTTCTGAAATTTTGCTTAGAAAATCTATAGACTTTTCTTAGAAATTAATTCCTACTAGGCAGCAGGACATGTAATAGGTTGCATTGGATTGCACTACCAGTATAAGGGTAATCAAGGTAATCATACACATTACCAGTATCAGGGTAATCAAGATAATTATAACTTAATTGTTCTGCATCACTTTTAAAATTTAATTTATTTGATTTTGTACAAATGTTTTAAATTATTTTTCAATGGTGTAATTTAAAAGCGCCTTAGAAACGGTTTCTAGTGAAAGAGTATACTGTATCGATTCGTATAAATAAATTGTTACATTATTGGCATTAACTTTAAGAAGCATCTCAGATCTGAAACTGATTTATTTCGATAGGTAAACACTTAGTTGTAATAATGATTCTTCTAGCTACATACATACTTTAGACAATTGTTGTTAAAATTTAAAATACTATTACATATAAAGATTAAACTTCTATTAACCAATTTGAAAAAATTATTTGCCAAAGGAAACGAGTAAAATTAACCATAACAACATGAAAAATTCGCTCAATAGCCGTTACAAAGTTAGCCGGTACAAGTTATTTTTCATAACGTTTTTACAAAGAAAATACCACTATTTCCGTCTTAAGTGTTTTGATATTACATTATTAAGTTTAGTTGATGTTTATACATTATACATGTTCATACATGTGCTTTGATACGAAGTATATTAAACTTGATTAAGCGTTATATTAATCTTCTATTTTATTGGTTTAAATTGTTATTTACGTTTTTACAATAAAATTTTATTAGATTAGGAAAACTTTTAAAGAGCTTTTGTTTTACATTTTTCACAGAAGTTAAGATTATAAAAGAAATACTTGTTGTTATTTTAAAACTTCCCTCCCATTCCTCCGCGCCACCCTACTGAAAAAAAGTTATTCAAATCAATATTTTATGTCAATTTGGTATGAAGTTTTAGATTATAACAACAAGAAGTACCTTTTTTCTAAGTGCTAAGTTTTTAAGTTATAAATATGTTGTTTTGAATTCTAAATTACTTTTTTTTTTGTGTACTTTAAAATTTTTATTATTTATTTGTAAAATTTAACATTATTACCTAAAATTTCTTTTTTTTTTAAATTCGAGTTTTATCTTTGGAAAAATAAAATTAAGCCAAATAAATGTAAGCATTAGATGATTATTTCATATATTCATTCCGTACTATTGAAAACTACGTAAGTATGGTTTCCAATTGCTGTAAAATGGTTTCATTACAATTGTTGTAAAACTGTTGCGCAATAATTTTTGTAGAAATTGATTTGTTACTAGTTTCGAGTCAATCCATTTACATATATATATATATATATATATATATATATATATATATATATATATATATATATATATATATATATATATATATATGTATATATATATATATATATATATATATATATATGTATATATATATGTATATATATATATATATGCAACTTCAGTATCATCAGAACGCGCTTTCTCGACTGCTGGACTTCTGGTCAATTAATGGCGCGCACCTTTGTCACCCGAAAGAGTTAAAAGGCTAGTATTTCTAAACATACTTGCAACTTTTGTAACCTGGATACATAAAGTAAAATAAAATTTAGAAAAATAACATTTCTAAATAAAAGACATCATTAAAAATTTTATTTTATATATTATTTTGTTTATATGAACAACTTTTATAAAAAAATAATTATATTTTTAACCAGTGTTCGGGTACCCGTCTGTTCATTCTACGGGTACTCGGGTAGCCATTTTCACAATTTTTGACAGCCCTACTTGAGACATTGGTCTTCTTTACAAGTATCATAACAGTGACCCGATATGTTCTGTTTGATTTATACGTAAAATGCAATTTTAAGACAATTCTAGTTTTTTGGGTATAACAACTAATTTATCTGAAATACGCATATCACATATGTTGATAAAAAAATAAATATTGTTTAGTAGTTTAATTGGATTGACAATTAACATATTAGTCTCGTAATGGTATTAGCAAATATAAATTTTTTTTTTCGATTTGGATCCTTAGGCTTTCATTAACTATCTACGGCACATTTATTTTTTCAAGAAGTACCACAGCCAAAAGCGGAACAGTTAGCACCAGGCATTTGCAAAAATCAAGAGTAAATCTACTTGTAAATGTTTTTCTTAACACGTCTTGATTTACAAACATTACAAACAGTAAACTGGAGTAATATAAACAATTGCGCTCTTAAATTAACTAGACTATGTTGTTTTATGACTCTAGTTAAAACTACTTGTTTTTTTAATTTATTAGTAAAACAGATACATTATATAATAAATAAATACACTTTAAAAAGGCTAAATTTTGAGGGTATTTTATTCAAAACAATTAAACTATAATCTCTTATGAGATTGTAAAATAACTTACTGTCATTTAAGAACTAAATCACTACATTATGCAGGTAATGTAATTATTAAGTACATTCTTACGTAAAGCATATTTAAGGATTTAGGTTAGAAATAAAGAAAAGTATGCACCCTTGATTCAAAAATTCAGGGCGCCTCAAGTTCATAACAAACTTCTAAAATCAAAACATTTAAAGAACTAACTCTCCCATATTTATTGTCTTGCATTTATACTATTTTTTTATTTTTTGTATGAAAAATGTAAAACTGAAATTGAATTATTGTTTAAATATAGATTGAGATCTATTTCTTAAGCCAAATACTATAAATTCTACTTTAACCTAAATGACAATTCGATTAATTATTTGTAAAAGTTATGTTTTTGAAAGTGGCTGTGAGTCATTTGTAAAGGATTTTAAATTTAAATCCTTTATTAAAATCATAATGTTCAGTTCAAACGCAATATTAAAATTATCATGTTCAGTTTCAAACGCAAATGTTTCAATATAGGCTCGCGCAAATAAGAACAACGCATACGAACAATAAATTATTTATAGTTCACGTGCGATAACTAAAATCAAGTATATTTTACAGAATTATAAAATGCAGACTGGCGAATCAGATAAATATGCTGAAAATGTTGAGAGGAGCAGCTGATTCTTATCCCTCTAGGATATAATGTATCTCACGTAAAATAGCTGAGATGAGTTATTATTATTGCCATGTTTTCTACAAATGTGTAGCAATTTCGTTGAATAATGTTTTCACTGAAAATTTGAACTAATTTATATTGTGTTGTATTTACGTACATCATGAATTTGCCGTTTAAACCAAATATTTCAAGTAAAAGTAAAATAAAATATATATATTTAAATACACTCTTGGGATTATATTGTTTATTTTCATTTCAAATTAAATTTTCACTTGGTGGACTGGAAAGGTATAAGAAATTTATATCTGAAAGCAATACTAAAGAATCTGAAAACAAGCTATCTGAAATGTGCGCTTTTGTTGCTGATACGTCTTGCCAAAAATGTATAGATTTAGCAGTTTGTTTTTGGTGTGGCAAAAGAAGTGAAAATGCTGTTGGACAATGCTATGCCATAATTGATAAAAAAGCTAAGTATGAATGTCAAGGTCAACAAGTATACAATAAAGGGACTTGTAGTTATAATGATGCTGTTCAGGAAAATGAAATAAAAAAAAAGAAAATTCTAATTAATCTACTTAATTTGTTCAAAAAACTTCACTTTCTAAATAATAATGAAAAAGAAAAAGGAGGGAACATTTCTAAATATATAACTTCTTTTATTTCAGAGAGCAAAAAAAGTGAATACCATATAAATGCTATTAACACACCGTTAATAAACATACAAAATTTTACAAGAAATTCTGATATAGAAGATAAAATAATATCTAATAATGTAACTAGTTTGCCATTGAACTATCATGAAATAACAATTAACAACTCTTCTATGTCTGAAAATTTGTATACACATCATTTACAAGACTGTTCTCATTTGAATAATAATGTTTGTGAGTTGTCAGTTTGTGTTTGGTGTGAAGCTTTAAAAAAGTGTGTTTTAAAATCAGAGTTTCAACAAAATCAATGCAATCCAAGTTTTTTAATGCAAAATGTTGTTAAAGGTATTCATTTATTTATTCAGTTGTGAACTGTTTACATTAAAATGCTGTCTAGCATTTTTGTGTAATTATAGTTACATATTTATGTTGTATGTTATTATTCTAAATTTATATATACATATATATATATATATATATATATATATATATATATATATATATATATATATATATATATATATATATATATATATATATATATATATAGATAGATAGATAGATAGATATATATATAGATATATATATATATAAATACATACATACATACATACATACATACATACATACATACATACATACATACATACATACATATAAAGTAGAATCCTGTTAACTCAAACCTTGTATAAGTCGGAATTTTACTAAGCCAGACAAATTTTCAATTTCTACTGAAATCTCTATACATAACAAAAGCTTCGCTTAACTCAGACATTCGCTAAGTCAGACAAAATATATATACCCGTTCAGAGTCCCAGTTAACAAGATTCTGTATATATATATATATATATATATATATATATATATATATATATATATATATATATATATATATATACACATATATATAAACTTAGAAAATAGTATAAAGAAATATTTTCCTATATTACATGATGCATCTGAGTATCCTTTTTGTCATGTAAAAGGACAGATTACTCACTCTAACCTAAAAAAAACACAATACAACAAGTCTACTGAAATAAATAAAAAAAATAAAAGCCACAAAAGCCATACATTAATAGGAAGCGAGTTATAATCTGAATAAATATAAGCTAAATGATCAACTGCACCACACATATGGCTTTCAAAATCAACAGCTGTTCCATCTGGTAACTGGTCCAGAGCAATGACCTTGCAGTTTTTTTCAGATATAAGATAAACAGTGTTGATATAAACACCCTTAAGTGCTCTTTCAGCCAACCTTCAACCTCTGTCACATTGTTACAGTGTTGCTTCTCTTTCTCTTTTCTACAAATACTATAATGGGCACTGCTCTAAAGAGCTAGCATCTCTTGTGCTATCTACTAAAATTCATTCTCGTGTTACTCGTCATTTAATTTAGTCCCATCCTTTTTCTGTTACTGTTCTAAAGTGCTCCAAAAACTCTTACTCGTCTAGTTTTTTTCCTCGAACATCAGTTCTTTGGAATTCGCTTCCTTCATCTTGCTTTCCTGATTTATATAATTTGCAATCTTTTAAGTCGTCTGTCAATCGTTATCTTGCTCTACAATCTTCATCTTTTCTCTTCCAGTAACTTCCAACACTAATTAGTGGTTGCTTGCAGCCTTGTTGGAAGCAAAGATGTTTAAAAAAAAAAGTTTTGCATTAAATCTAAAAGTAAGATAAAAATTACTTATAGCTCATTCTGCTGCTTGAAATTCTGCTGTCAAGCTCACAAGCCTTTTGCTCAATAGTAAAATGATGAGGAATAAAAATAAATTTAACATCCAAATATTGCCCTATTTTTGCAATTAAAAATGGGAGATTACTTGTTGGAACATTTGCTAATTACATGCCATAAATTATTATTTTCATTTATAAATGGTAACTTTTGTCATCTTCTGACATTAACATTTTGAATTTTTCCATCTTTTACTTGGAATATATCATTTTCTAATTGAGTGATTAACATTTTATCTTCCTTACCATCAACATTGTTTTAGTTTTATCTGCATTATGTTTTGTTTTTTGTTTTTTTTTTGATGTCTTTGATTTAATTTTAAGATTGCGAATTAACCATAAAGATATGTTTTATTTTTATTTTTTTTAGTTCTCTAACTTCTGTCCTCAAAGCTTTAATACTATCTTCTTCTCTTTTGATGTTTTGCCTGATTCTTTTAATTTATAGGGCATGTTAAAGTATTTGTATTTAGTTTTTGTTATTTTTTCCTGTGAGCTCTGGTCGAGCTCTTTAACTGCAAAGATAAATATGTTAACCTATTAAAGAGTTTTGCTTTCTTAGGGTTATTTCTCCTCTAGATCAATGCTTTTTGGTTTCATTTTCTATGGATTTTACTAACAAGAAATTTTAACAAAGTTTCACAGTTGACTAGAGGTAAAATAGCAATATCTTAATTTGATGACAGAAGACGCTGAAACAGTTATTGATAAATTACTCTAATTAAGATGCATTTCCTGCCTCATTGGCATGCTCGGTTATGTTCATGGTATGCAATGATTTGATTGCAAAACTCAATAAATTTTGAACAATCCCTAGTATAATTGGTAGTCAATTTTTTTGCAACGAGAGTATTATATGGTTGGCTTATACTTGGGTTAAGCTAAATAATTCGTTGACTTGTTTAAGAGTTCACCAATTTTTTTTTTTTTTTTAAGTTGATTAAGGTGCCTCAAGAAGTCCTTACGGTCTTATCACAGAGCACCGCGGAAGAGCATTTAATAGGAAGTTCACGCCTCCTTCCCAACCGATGTCGCAAAACTTTTCCAGAGACGGGGTTTGAACCACGGATCTTATGTTCTGAGGCAAGTGCGCAACTGACTTACTGTTATAAGCAAATAACAAGATTATATGTCCATTTCTACAGTTTGTGAATATTTTGTCATGCAAAGTGAAGTTTTTAAGCTAAATACTGTTTCACTGCATCCTGAAACACACATTCACTATTTTTGGACCCTTAATTCCTGAAAAAACTACATGTAAAGAGTAAATATATTTTTATTTTAATTACATTTCCTGAAAAGTACCACAAATATATTATAAATCATTGATAATATTATAATGCAACATTATTACATTACATTTACATATACGTTTTATAATACCAAAAAATATTATTTTCATAAAATTGAAGTAAAAAATATCATACATACCTAGTACAAACAAGTAATTGCTCAACTATGGTTTAATTAATATTTCAAATTCAAAGAAACAGTTTAAATAAACTAAAATTAGGAAACTAAATAATTTTTTTTTTTTAAATCTTATTACCCAACAAGGCTGCAAGCAACCTTGCAAGATAAAGATTGACAAATGACTTAAAAGATTGCAAATCATATGAATCAGGAAAACAAGATAATGGAAGCATATTCTAAAGAACTGATGTTTGAGGAAAAAAACTAGACAAATAAAAGTTTTTGGAGCACTTTAGAATATTCACAGAAAAAGCATGAGACAATTGAATGACAAGTAACACAAGAATGAATTTTAGTAGATGGTACAAAATATGCTAGCTTTTTGGAGCAGTACCCATTATAGTATTTGTTGAAAAAAAAAAGAGAAGCAACATTACGACGATGTGATAATGGTTAGCTGTTGGCTGCAATAGCAGGTCTAGCTATGCTTACAATTAGTTTTGTACCTTGTCTAAAAGAGAAAGTGCATCATTCGAAGATCCACCCCAAGTATGGCACCAATATTACAAGAATACATACAAGAATGGATTTGAGGTTTATAAAAGATAAAAAATAAAATCCAGCATAAGAAAGTATCAAGCACATTAAAGAGATGCAACCTTAGCAGATGCTAATTTTGCAATGGATTTGATATATTGTTTCCAAGAAAGATTGTAAGTAAGAGTTAATCCTAAAAGGTGAAAGGTAGACTCATTGAGTACAATACCGTTCATAAATATAGAAAGATCTAAATTATTGTGGTAATGATTGGCTAAAAAAATTGGATTTTATCAAAATTAAAGTTTACCAGCCACTGTGAGCCCCATGTTGTAGCAGAAGTGAGATCTTTTTCAAGCTCAAATGCCCTCTCCGAGCAATCAGAGAATGTTGGCTTCTTATCAAGAAAAAAAATGATAGTATCTTCAACAAACAATCCCACCTTAGATGTGAGAATATCTGGAAGATTGTTAATATAAATTCAAAAAAGTATAGGGTCAAGGATAAAACCTTGAGGAACCCCTGAAGTTACAGGAAATGAAGAAGAGTCCTGTTCATTGAGGACAACTTTAATACAACGATTGGTAAGGAAGGAGTCAATAATCTTAAAGATGTAATCTAATACACCTTAAGAAGAAAGCTTATGGAAAAGACCATTCTTTAAAAAAACTTTATCAAACGCTTTAGAAATGTCAATAGCGATAGCTCTAACCTCTCTTCCAATATCTAATGCAAAATAAAATCTGTTGTTTATTACTTTTAGCAAATCAGCTGTATAACGAGAAGATTGAAATCCATATTGATAATCAGAAAATAAGTTATTAGATTCAAGATAAAAGGTTAAGTGTTTGTTAATTAAAGACTCAAAAACCTTGCTTATGATAGAAAGAAGACTAATGAGATGGTAGTTAGACCAGTCAGATCGTTCTTCAGAATTTTTAAAAATAGGGATAACTTTCCAGCATGCCGGAAAACAAGACACTTGTTAAATAGTTTTGAAAGTATTGGCGACAGTTCTGGAGAACAGTTCTGCAAGACTATAACAGGTATTTTGTCTGGACCACAAGCTGTAGAAGAGTCTAAATAGGAAATCACTTTTGATATAGAAGTTGGAGTGATATGAATGTCAAACAATAGATCAACCTGTTTGTCGGCTAAATCAGGTAGAACGCAACTAGTGGAACCAATTAATATTGTTGATAAAAAGTTCTTAGCAAACAATTCAGCTTTGTCTTTGTTGTATTGTTAATAAAACATTACTAATAGAAAATTACAATATATATTCTTTTATATGTAAGCTATCTTTATACATTTACTAGATATAATCACCACCTATATATATGTAAAAAAATATATATGTTACTGTTCATTTGCAAATATTAAGTTTTATAGCTTCACATCCCTGAAATGTATTGGCTTTTGCCTCCTTGTTGACTGTGTACTTCTTCGATTCTGGGTAAGTTCTTCTTTAGTTACAAGTAGTTCGGACATAGGCTAGTTAGGTGTTTGTTTATTTGGTCACAGTGTCCTAATGTACCTGAAGAATTATTCCTCAATATGATTGTGAATAACCTTTTAAACCCATATTGACTGTCTCTACCGTTCTTTCAGCTGCTTCATTAGATTGAGGATGGTAAGGTGGAGTCTTATAATGC